CGTGGGAAAGAACTTTATCAGCGTAAGTGGAGGTCCTTGGCAAGCTTTTGACAATACCCATCATCTGCTTTGCAAAACTTGGACGCAACATTATCGCAAAGGGTTTTGATAGACTCCAGAAAAGCATAGTACTGCGACGTCGTCGACATGGAGAATCGTTCCGACAATATGGGAAGTCTGATGGACGACTCATTCGTCGACGTGCATTTCAAATCAGCACTGAAAATCGTGTGCAACTGCTCGCACAGCGCATTCTCAGGTGTCGAGTCCAAGGGTGTGAAGAAGACATGGAGACCCGGTGAGACACGTGATGTGAAAGGCGGCGTTGCTATGTAGTTCTTTGGTGATGCCCAGCGAATATGCAATTCATGCCATTGTTGGAAAACTTTGCTGAGCTTGCTCATGTTAGCCTAATGTCATGGTCAAGTCTGGGAAAAGGATCATGTTGTACTTCATCGGGCAGCTCGTTCAATCCCAAGGTGATACGGTGTTCCTTAGCTGCCTTGACGCCTTTTAGAAGAAAGCGTGCACCGGATGAGCCGCTGTTCTCTACAGACAGTTGATCTGGTGAGAACTCGTCTGGCTTCTCGACCACATAGGTTATTCGTTGTTTCATGATCACAATCTGATATGCTTGTCGATGGTTTGGCGTGGCATAAGAGCTCATATGCCGCTGCTCTACCATGCAACAGAACAGCTCTAATCCATATCCAGGATAGCGTCCTAGACCCTGAAAGTGACGGAGGCCAAGCCTGTCACTCACGACGGTGGAGGCTTTGGAGAGATCTAGAATCGCTGCCTGGGGACAAGAAACAACATTCAACCGTGTCCCTTCACATGTTTCGCCACTGGATGGTATCGTAAAATCTACTATCCCTCTTACTTCTCTCAACCTCTTGAACCGTTTCATCTTCAACATCAACAACATGCGCCTCACAAACGCCTTGTACGCTGCGCTCCTCGCAACAAGTGGCGTAGAAGCCCTACGCTCCGAGTCCAAAGTCAAACTCAAAAACATCCAAAGCCTCACCCTACGCAAAGGTCTCCAAACCTCACATAGACGCGTGGATCCCATCCCTCAGGTAAGTCAACATACACACGTCTCACCAATCCCATCATGGCCCCACCACTCCAAACCACAATATCGTATTAACACCACACCTCCAGCTCAAATGCATCGGCGGCTCCGGCCGCGGCCTCTATGAAATCGACGTAATGCGCTGCAAAAACTCTGGCTCCGACTACGACGAAAACAACATCCAATGGACCTGCACCGCCTCCCTACCCGAAGAATTCAAACTCGGCTCCACAGACGTCATTTGCGAGGGCTACGATTACCCCGAGGACCCCTACATCTTAAAGGGCAGCTGCGGCGTCGAGTACCGGCTCATCTTGACGGATAAGGGCAGGGAGCGATATGGAAAGGGCAGGGACGGGTGGTTTGGCGATGGCGATGGCGATGACGGTGGATATGGTGGGCCGAAGACAATGGGCGAAAGGATTGCAGGAGGCTTGTTTTGGTGCTTGTTCATCGGAGTTGTGGCATGGATGATATATTCTGCGTATACAAGTCGCGCACAGGGCGGTGCCCGCGGCGTCGGGGGTGGCAGACCTGGCTGGGGCGGCGGCGGTGGAGGAGGCGGCGGATGGGGCGGTGGATGGGGCGGAGGCTACAACGACGACCACGACGACCCGCCACCACCCTACTATCCCTCAAACCCAGGAAAACAACACCCCAGCTACGGCACCAACCAAGGCTGGCGACCGGGCTTCTGGTCCGGCGCCGCCGGTGGTGCAGCCGCAGCTTGGGCTGCCAGTCGCATGGCCAACACCGGACGCAATCAAACCGGTTCTGGCTGGGGCAACGGGAGTGGCAGCCGTTGGGGCAATGGGGAAGGTAGCTCGAGATCTTCGTCTGGCGACAGTTTCTCCAACTCGCGACATGAGAGTACGGGGTTTGGATCGACGTCACGCAGATGAGGGACTGGTTGGGTTGGATGCGTAGGTATGTTAGATGTTACGTTTGTTTTTGGATTAGAATGATACCCCTTTTATTGATACGTTTGGTATATTTCTTTCTCTGTTATAAAAACTGTTGTTTTTGGGACTGAAGAGAGAGTGCTGTGTGCGAGAGAGAAATTGCGCATGATTTATCGTTCAACTGGTGTCATCATGGAGTTGAATAGGCCAGTCATGGTTAGCACTAGTTGCTCCAAGCTACCCATCCTGAAGCGAAGAATAGTATATATATCACTATCCAAAACTCAATCAGAGATTCCCCAATAATCAACACCCATCGCAAACCACAGCCCACCAGCCAGGCCTTTCACCCCCGCCAATCGCCCCTTTCAAACCCCATCCGCAACCCTCCACGGAACATCCCCCCTCTCCACCCTCGAACAAGCCAAATACGCCACTCCATTCCCCTCGACATTAAGCATCAGCTCGTTCCTAGCCAAATCGCGCACACACTCGCTCGCAAACGCCTTTAGCAAGCCCAAATCCTCGCTCAACGAGGGCACGGCACAGGACATAACGCGCAGCATGAGGCGCTCCATTTCCTCATAGGCCATGCAAGCAGAGCCACCCTGTCTGAGCTGGCGAAAAATTCTGCCGCGCTTGAGGGCGGCGGGACCAGGCTGGCATTGTTCGAGGGCGGAGAATTGGCGGGCGAGGATGTCGCGAAAGATGGCGACGAGGAACCAGGTGTCGGAGTTTGCGTGGCATTGGGGGAGTACGGGGCCGGAGTCTACTTCGATGGTGAGGAGGAGAAGGGCGCGCTCGGCTTTGATGCAGGCTGTGTTTAGATGGCGGGATTTGCGGGAGATGAGGTGGCGGATGGGTTCGAGGAGGGTGGAGGGTGGAGTGAGCCAGGGCCAGAAAGGGTGGGCGCCGATCATGTGGATGAGGGTGTAGAAGGCGTCATTTTGGAGGGCCAGGGAGAGGAGAAGCCAGCGGGCGGGGTCGGATTTGATGGCTATAAAGAGGGATTGGCGGTATTGTAGGAGTGCGTTGCCAACGTGGGAGCGTATGAGGTGGAGACAGTCTAGGGTGGTGGTGTATCTGGTAATCTGCTCGACTTGGACGAGAGCATCATCAACTTTACGTGAGGAGAATGGTGATGGTATGCTGTAGAATGCCCCGAATATTTGATTGTAGATTTCGACAATGACGGCATGAGATGTATTTGTGCATATAGGATCAAGGGTCCGCCCTGGCATGGCCGACTGGCTCTCAGAATCTTCGATTTTGAATACTACATCGTTGGGACTTGCTTTATTGGAGACTCTCGGAGGCGGTATCTCACCTTCAGCGGGGTGAGGTACGAGTCCGACAACACCATTGACTTCTTCAAGCGTATAGGAGAACCACAATAAATGATATCTGTGGTTCTCCGACGTGAATTCTCGAAATGAACATGCAAACCAGGAGGAGTGTCGAGCCAAGACCTCGCTTTGAAGTCGCCATTACTTTGAGGGAGAAACGAGCGTGGTTTTGATGACCACATTTTCGCTGCTGAAGATGGGAAACGACTCTGCGGCAGCATAGCTATCCACTGAGTTGAAGTTGGGGTATGTAAGGATATCTTTCATAGAAGAGGATAACTATGCATAGGTAAAATCCCTACAAGTATATCTTGTACTTAACGCACTATAGTGCTGTCTTGGGACTGTCCAAGTCCTGTCGACAGGGCTGGAAGACCTGCCGCAGACAAAGATCTGCCGGCTGCGAGCTTTGAACTGGAATCGTCACCTGCATCTTGGCTGGTTGTACTAGTTGATCTACTACTCGTGATTGGACAGTCGTTTCGCTGTCTTGTAATTTTGCGGGACCTCTTCCTGAGTCGAGTCGTGTGATAAGAGGAGAGGAGACTGCTGATTCTTTTGCTTGGCTCTGCACATCATCACTGGGTACATAATCTGAAAACTGCGATGAACTCGACGACGATGCCTCAGACAAGTCGGATAATTCCGCGTCGCTCAAGAGCTCCGACTCGATTGCAGATGAACTAGAATTGGGACATCCTGGCTTTCTGGAGTGGGCGAGGTTGTGCTGGCGAGTTATCTCGAAGGCGTTTGGATATCTCCGTCGCTTGACTGTCAGTGATAGGATAATTACTGACTGAATGTGAATGAGGTTTCCAATAGGGACGTACTGTAGTCAGTTTCAAAACCTACCAAGGTAGGTCTGTGGTGTATCAAAAGGTGAGAGTAGAGCTTTGATCACTTGTACAAAGGTCAATGCTTTCTTATGCGGAATCGACTAGAACCGATCATGATCTTTCAAAGAAACGGTAGCTTAGCGCAACGTTCAAGTGAGTTTTGAAAACGTTGCAAAGGATCGGATACTGCTGAATTGAAGACACGGTAAACAGGTATTGCCACTATTAGTGGCAGTGTTATGAGGTGAAGGTAAGGAGGTGTGACTGGAAAGATCATGTAGATAATAAACGGGCAAGACTGTTTGGCACTGCTTAGATACTGACTATGAGAATGTGCAGTCGAGACAAAGCTAGTGATTTATTAGTGCGGGATGATGCTTCATGGTAGGTGAGTCAAACATGGCAGTATAGACCAAACGTACTGTGTATGCAAAATAGTAGCATGTTGAGAACAGCGTACTCACGCCAAAAGCAATAGATGAATGAATAATCCTCATCTTCGCAGGGACTTGCTAGACGGCGGTTAAAATGCAAGCAAAAAGCTTGACACATTCCATTTGGAGATGTGTTCAACGTGCATCAGGTTAGTGGGTTTGAGGAGCGAAACCCAGCCAGCGGTTCTTCCAGAACCCAGGATGCGAAACAGCCGCACGGTGGGACAAAGTCACAATTTCCGGGCTCAGTTGAGGCTGGCAGTCAGCACTGGCTATATGCAGGGGTTCCACAATCCCATGCCTTTGCAATAATAGAGTGCATCACAGGCCCAAGTGGGGCGGGGGAGGGGCGGGCAGCGAAGATATCGCGTTTGTCTGAGCTCGAAAGTGACGATCGGAATCATGGGCCAGACCAGATGCAAATCCCGGTGATGCCACGGTGAGCAAGATGGGCTTGACTGGGTAGGGTGCAGTTTGGTGATGGCGGTGGGGAGGAGTGGTGGGGGAGCTATAGTGTGTGTGAGTAATGAATTGGGAGCAAAGACGAAGACTCTTGTGAAGCAGCGTGCCATACCTACCTGGAGTCTTGGAGTACTTGTGCTAGAGTAGAGCACGAGGTGGTGGTGCGGTGCAAAACAAGTGTTCATTCACGCCATGCCAATGTAGGTAAGTTGTAGAGTAAGTATAGTACATGATGTTACAGTGTGCCGAGTGCCGGGGAGGGGAGGGAAGGGAAGAAAGGAAGAGAGAGGGAGGGGGAGAGAAGAAAGCACTGACGTCAGCCGGCTGAGCGGAAGGATCCCGCGACGGGTTGAGTC